TAACCTGACCGTGGTTCCCAGTGAGCTACCTCACAATTACCTAGCTGGGAACCGTGGTGACCGGTGCCACCGCCACAATAGATAATCCTACGATATGTAGACATCGGGTGTGAAAAAAACCCAGCCGTTATGTAGACATTCGTTAGGTAGACATATTTGCTGTCTACCTAATGTTTAGCATGACATAACTTCGTTTTCTTCATGAAATTTATATTTATGTTGTGTTTATCTAGTAGAGGTGTCCTCACTCTATTGACTTGAACATATTTAAATGTGATAAAGCTTAAATGTGTTGTTAAGAACACATTTTCTAAAAGAGTCATATATACGTCCGTATGTAAAATCATCCTGATAAGAAAAGGGTACCGAAATGAGTGGAAAATGCTAACGAAAATTTGAAGTATTACAATGTGAACTACGCCTGTTTTAGGAAAAAAACGGTTCATTGGCACAGGGAAGAGACCAGATTGCATATAACGTTCGTGTGCAGCCATTTTCTGCATTCCGCTGAGAAATGCTCACTTGATGAGTTTACAATGCATTCTGGGATTGCCGGAGCACAAGCCGCTGCGTTTCGTCAACCTTTATGTTGCGCACTCTAAAGTAACATTGTAGCTTCTCCTCGAATGACTCGAAGTCTTCATCGTCTTCCAAGAATTTCGGTAGTTGTTTTGAAGTTATCACTCGGTCGCCAGCGTAGTGTAGTTGAGGAAGGCAGAGGAAACCACTTGTAAACATTTACAAACGAGATTTATTATTGTGCTAGCCATATTGAAATACATACCATAATGCTTTGCGCATACACGTGTTAGTACCAATTATTATGCTGGAGGGAAACACCAGACGGCGTCAGTAATACCATGAATTGCTAACCATGAATATACATCACACACACAATCATAATACGGCTATGTGTATACGTTTTATTAGATCAGATTTATTAGATTATTATATTGTTCAAACGTGTTTATTTAAACAAGTGCCGCGGAGCGACAGCCCTCATCTAACGTCTACTGCGGTGACTCTGTGGTGGAGTGGTGGGATTCTAGTAACCCTGTTAGTCCCAAATGGTTCACATACGTGCCGAAACAGTGGAAGGCACAGGGATGGTATCAGGAACCTTCTCAAAGGAATGTTCGTTGAGATCGTTATGAAAGTTGCCACGAGATGGCGCGTACGTTTAAGTGTCTTAAGTTTAAAGATGGAAGCTCCCATCGTACGTAGTAGCAACAACTATTGCAAGATAGAATAGGTAAGCACTCATCCATTTACCATACGCAAGCATACAGGCTGAAATAGAGAGCTGCCACCTGTAACTAATTAACGCAGGCAAAAAACTACACAGTACTATCACACCACAGTGCACTGCAGTGGCCACTGGAGTGGCCACTGCCAGTGCATGTGGTGGTGATAGTACTGTGTAGTTACATGTAACACACTGACAGTACAGAATGCCATAGAAATTATACGTTAAGGAGCATAAACCTTCTCAACCAAATTTAGCTTTTGAAATTTCACTGTGACATTGTAGCCTCATACATCCAGGCATGTATAGATTCTACTAGCAACCTGGCCAGTCAAATTCTTTCTAACAGTAAACAAATCCATGTTTAACCCTCCTCTTGGAGCTGGTCAAAAGGTTATTCCAACAACTTACTCTTCGCATTCACGCAGAAGTACATTTCATGGTCCTTTCAATAAAGCCCATAAAATCTAGTCACCTCTGAAACAAAAAAGTTTTCAATCGCTCTGTCAGACCATGTCCTCAGAAAATGTTTAAAATCTGCCCTGTGCCCCATTGACCTTTGACCTGTGACTCCAATTTCCGCACAGTAATGGCTTTTCCTACCATGATGCTATACACGACTATCACGAGCCTAAGTCGAACCGTTTTGATTTGTGCTGCAATTCTGCATTTCCTAACTATACTTAAGTTAAGGAAGGGAATGTTCCCCCTTCTTTTACGACCTCTTGACCTTGCACTTTGACCCCCAGCTTCGACATCCCAACTCGTTTTGCGGATTACCCCCACGTCCCGAATATCGTGACTGTACGTCGAGCGTTAAGGTTGTGCCCAACTGTTGACGGACGACGCACGGAGGCCGCGGAAGGACCGGGACGCACGGACAATCATGCGATTCTACAAGCTGATCTGACTACATCAGATGAGCTAAAAATTAGTCATTAATGGCTACGTTAGGTAGATTAAAAACACTCAAAAAACGTCACAGCCAGGTTGTCAGAGATGTAAGTGCTATTTGTCCAAAAAATAGGAAAATAGTAAGACATTCCGACAACAATGGCTGTGACCTGTGACTGAATTGGGGAGAATGGCACCACGAAGGCCACCTGTTATGTTCCTTCGTAGGTGGGGTGGTAGAGGGGGTGTCCCCCTGGAAATACGAGACTTTTTGGCATTTCCAGTGGTCTTAGATACAATTTCAGGCCAACTCACAAAATCAGAATCTTTATTGAAAATACCAGAAAATCGGAATTCCGTCAAAAATTGGAAAACTTACATCTTTGGGTTGTATCTCGATTATATGCTGTCTTCAGAGCGAAAGCTTCAATTTTTAAATGTTACATTTAACTAATCTTTTTCCTTCGTTTTTTTCTTCTTCGGTTTGTCTCCAGTGTGCGTTCTCATGTGTATCTTCACAGCACCCGATTGTGTGAAGGTAGCATCACACAGCTCACACTTATACGGTTTCTCTCCCGTGTGCGTTCTCATGTGTGTCTTCACAGCACATAAATGTGAGAAGGCAGCATCACACAGATCGCATTTATACGGTCTCTCTCCCGTGTGCGTTCTCATGTGTG